GAAAGAGTTTAGAATGTGTTAATTTTAAAATGCTTTGTCTTTCCCATATTAACCAAACGTGATAATGTTAATTGGTTCTTCTGGTATTATCTCTATTTCAGTTTCCTGTGCAACTGTGCTTAAATGTTTTTTAAAAACAAAAAGATACTAAGCCAAAGAAATATTATACTTTCTGCAACCAACATCTCTCAATTACTGGCTCTTTTATTTCCTTTCTATTGAATCTTTCCTCGCAGATTCTTGTTTCAGCCCCAGACTGCCCCAAATGCGTTTGCTCCATTTGTGGGAGGTCGCTCAGCTCATGGACACAGACGTGTCCACAGGCTGAACCTCCCTCGAGCGCTGCCCTGTCTGAGGCCTCCAAATAGAGGTATAAGAAGTCAGATGAGATGAATGTAGGCCTATGGAACAGGCCTATCAGTTTAAAAAAAAAAATCACGCAAGTTCTTGATTATCCCATAAGAAATAATTATAAAGTAAGGAAAAATTGAGATAAGCAAATCTGAACTCATTCCAGTTTCCAGCTAGGCAACCAGGCTTGACTTTATTATGGAGCAACTCTTGGTAGGAAACATAGTTAGAATCTGTGCAGAAATAAATAGGAAGCACCTGGGCCACGGGTGCCACCAGGTTCCTTTAGCCCAGTGTGTCAGGATTTCTCTTCCAATATCCAAAAACAGGAGTTTTCCCAATTTCTATTACTTGTTGTGGGATAACCTCAAGAACCTGCAGCCCGCCGTTGCCCCTTGCTTACAGGAACACAACCTTGGCTCCTTAAAGTTTAAGAGTGTTTTTTACCATGCGTTCAGCCAAGTCTTGCTGGTGGTTGAAGCTGCGTCGGCGCTAACGCGCTCCTCCCCGTGCTGAACGAGCGCCGCCCCGGCACCGCTCCCCTCTGCTGCCAGGCGCTAGCGGTTACAGTACCCGCTGCCGTGGAGCGGACACGGGGCAGGGGGCGTTTACAGCACAGGGTTCTTGCTGTACAGCAACAGTGAGTGCTGTTGTGCTTTACCCCTTGTCGTGATGGAGAGATTCTGCCACGGGGCAAACTGTGTCGTCCTGGTGCTTCTGTGTAACTGACTCTTTCATAAAGCCCGTGCCATGTGCAGCGGGTCCCCGTGGCTCGGGGCGGAGGCCCAAAGGAAAATACAGCTATGGAAATCAGTGTTGTGTTGGTCACTTCTGCGAGGGCGTTGCTGAGGGATCTTAGCTTGTCCTCCTTAGGGTCATAAACCAGTTGAGTTAAATGTTTCCTCTCCTTTCCTCCAAGAGTGGACAATTTATTAGTTTTTGCCATTATTTCCAGCTTTTTCCTCCCACAGGAGCTCTTAATCCAACTCTCCCACCCAGCACCCCAAATAATTCTTCAAATGCAGTGGTATGAGGGTCAGTTACCCATAACCACAGTGAGTGACTTGCAGTTCTTGCAGAATTGCAAAAAAAATTGCCAATATGAAAACACTGCAGTGCTGGGAATGAGATGTAGGGTAACATATTTACTTGCAAATACTGGGCGGGGGGAGCTTGCTTTCCATGCCAAGCACGTAGAAATAGGATATTTATTCTTCACAAGAAGCAGAGCAGTTAGTTAAAATACCTTCTTGAAGGATATTACTTAAAACCTGAACCTGTAAAATGTATCACTCAACTACAGAGCTGTAAATGGTACTACTGTAATTTTGTGATTCTTTTTTCCCCAGACACTAATCATACCCAGGACATGCTCTATACTGTATTCTTTTGGAATTTATTAATAAACACGTTTTCTAAAGAAACTCCAAGCATGAACATTGGCACAAACTGCATGAAAAAGTTGGTTTTCTGTATTTCTGTGACATGTTGGTGCTGTCAGGTAATATCTTCCATATTGCCTGTCTGTATTTCCTTTACTTGCTACTACTTATCATTGTGTGGATTTTTTTTAGGCTTGATGTAGGTTTTTTTTCTAAAGCAGCACATGGTAATTCTGAGCTTTGTTTATGCTTTTCTGTTCATTCATGGGTATACAGCATATGACACTAATGGAAAATCTGTGTTACTAACTTGTGAAGAATTTTTTTTTTAATGTAAAAATTCACATAAGAATACACTCAAGACCACACCGATCCTTTAAAACAATGTCACAATCTAAATAACATCTGTTAAAAATACATATCTTTTGGGCTTTGCGGCTTGTTTTTCTCTCTTCTTCTATTATTTAGAGAAGAACCAGCAGCTCTCGCCTTACGCTGAGCAGGTACCCAAGGGAATAAAGCATCAGAGCTGTTGCAGTTCAGCAAGGAGCAGTGGTAGGTTTGTGCTCCCCTCGGGATTGTGAATTATCATCTTCTCTTACCCTGAGAAGGGCCAACAGCTTCATCCTGAGCGAGGCAGCTCAGGCAGGGGAAGCTCTATGCGCTGCATACCCCCATGCGCTGCAGTCGGTCGGGCCCCTCTGGCCCAGCCCGGACGTTTCAGCCCCGCTCCCACCCACGCACGGGCCCTGCGCTCCCGCTCCCGCCGGGTCAGCGCGGGCGAGGATTTTAGTGCAGTTCTTTAGGCTTAAAATCACTGATCCCCATGGCTGTTTAGAGCTGTCGTGTTCCATTACGGAGTGTGTCAGATAATCCCTTGTGCTTTAACCAAAAAAAAAAAAAGTATTTTAAACTAGTCTAAAGGTATGGTAATGTATTACTGTGATGATAAGGATCATGGTTTATGTGAACTCCATTTTGGTTTCCACCATGAACATTTAATCCCTGTAAACATACAATACTGTAGTTTGTTATTAATACATATACATTTCTATATATATGTACACACACACATAAAAAATAAATGTTCAGATTTTTGCATAAATTAAGATTTTTTTAAATTTGAATATGAGCTTTGAGTACTTTATTTCACAAATAATATTTAAAAATACTTTCCTGGAGTGTTAAGTTTCAGAATTCAACTATATTCGACTATATTTGTCAAACTTAAGTTTAAAATATGTAGCTAACATTGGTTTCTGATATCTACTGTAAATATTTGTAAAGAAATTCTTTTGTATATTTTTGTGAAAATGTAGTTCCCCAACAGATACAAAAGATTTAATAAAAAAAAAAGTGCATTTATGTTTCTCCTTAATGCTTTCAATTATTATAGCAACATTCAAAACACCTGTGGTCACCTATGGGGTTGCTTCCTTGAATGAGGTAACTACAAACAGCTGCACCCAGTCATCAGGGGTGCTTTTCTTGTTATTCCTGACCCCCCACCATGTTCCTATCTGAAACCACTCATTTTCATGTTGAGTAGTATTTAATTCAGGAGTTTAAGAAATATATAGTAAAGAGTTTTTGCTTATGGTGTCCTTGTCTTCCACTAGTTGAGTGACTGTCACAACTGGGTGAAGAGTTGGGTCAGTGGTTGTCAGCCCATCAGTGCAGCTGTGGGCCTGACACCAAGCACCTCCTGAGCAAGAACTATTCCTACCACCAGCTGAATGCAGAAATAATCTGCCTAAGAACTTCTGAGGACGCACTTACTTCAGCTAATGCTAAGCAAAGAGCCCTTACCCACATAGAATACAAAACATGCTTCCAAAGTTTTTAATGGAATTTAAAGTAAAACTTTTCTTACACAGGCATTTTCTTCTTACAATGTAAAAAAAATTTAAAACTGCTCCAACTTACAAACTTGGAAAATTAGAGACATTTCAAGTAGGCAATCAACTTCATTTTTATGAAAACAATGCATATTAAAAGTTCAAAACACGTGGATTTCTCTATTGTCCTGTTTCCCTGGTGGTTAATCTTCCTTGGCTTCCTTGGACTACTGTCCAAAGGAGGCAACTTTCAGTCCCAAGCTGTATCACAGTTATTCACTGGGGAGAAGAGAAGAATAGTTCAGGTAAGTAACAGTCCTACCTTGTTGCAAAGATGATTTCGGAACTAACTAAAGCCCTTCCTTCAGGTAGAATTAAGAGTGAATGGTTAAGTGATGACAGTATCTTTAAGACAGACCAATGACTAACTTGGACACTTTAGCTATGTTAATTATACATCGATACCTACATCGCAATTTCAGTCAATGTCTGTGCACTTCTAAAAACCAGCCCATTGATGGATATGTTTACTCTGAAGCAAATTTGAATTTTAAACATAATACCCCACTCAAAATCTATACTTCCTACTGACCCTGCAGTCTTCCAAACACCCGAAGATAAGGTCAACTGGAGGAGTTTCATAGGAGATGTTACAGAACATTTCTTGGTACGTAGTTGCTGGCCTTGTCACAAAGTAAGTACAAGCAAAAGCAGCATTACCAGGCTGCATCCAGCTTGCAGAAATAAAAGTAGTATCAGAAAAAAACCACACGCAGAAGTGCCACTTTTGGTGTTAAACATAATCTTTCAGCTTAGTTTAACAGCGCGTGCCTCTTAGAGCCGTCTTTTCAGTATACATGAAACCAGAGCTGGTGAAGTAAACAGCACTTGAAAACACACACTGTTCAGCACTGACTAATTCCCATTATATCTTGTTGAGCTCACTACTTGGGAAGTCAGGGAGAGGTGACCAGGGTGCTCTTCTGCCACAAACTCTCCTGGCCTCAACAGAGAATTACTTGATTTACCAACCCTCAGAGAAGCACTGAGCACCTGGTGGGGCAGACAGCGCACACGCACAACAAAGCAACACACAAGAACTGATGCAGGATTTCCAGCTCTACTCAAATCCCAGACAACTGTTTTTTCCCCTAGGTCAGGAACCCAGTGACTTGGCCATACCTAACTGCAGAGCACTTATTTTTTTCAGCATTGCATCATATTTGTAAATGTTTAGATACTAAAAACAAACAGTACAGAGTTCTCTGTAAAAGAAAGCTGCCATCTAATAGGCATCTCTCACCATTCTTACTGCTCAGACCGCTCACTCTCCTGTGAGGAGAAACTACATACTTTCATTTGCAACGCAACTATTTTTAAGGCCCAGCCTCTAAACCTAATCAAAAAGAAAAAAAAAAAAAAAAAGATTTTTAAATTAACTTTTTTTTACCTCGTCTGAGCTCGAGTCCATTTCAAGGCATGGCGTGGAGGTACAGCAATAGTTGGGTGGTAAAAAGTGCAGTCTGGTCTTGTACACTGAGTATTAAACCTGCAGTGCTAAAAAAAGAAAGCATTTCAGAAGAGGCTTCTCAAAGCTGGCCGCATTAGTGTCCTGAACAAGCCCCCTGGGAATGTGCTACCTCCACCGTTGTGCTGCTCTATGAGCTGAATCGCAGGCCCGCACCGCTAGCGAGTCAGCGCAGGGACAGCAGGGTATCCTCGTTCCCAAACACTGGCTACGACTGCAGAGCTCCAGCACGAGGCTGCACTCGCAGGCCAGGGGCAGAGCGGGCGGGCAGAGCTCAGCGCCAGTGCTCTGTGCACACAAGTGCAGCGTGTGACACACAGCACCCGAAGGAGAGCGAGGGCACCCAGCGCTGACACCTGGGAACGGGCAGGACCCTGGGACCACGGGGTGTCCCAACGGCACCGGTGTGAACATGCAGGACACTTGCTGGCCTAGGGACATACATAGGCACTGACACAGACCAGAAGTACTCAAGTCATAAACTGCTGTGCTCTACCAAGTATCCTGGGGTACCTGAGAGCAACCCAGTTACTCTCACGGTAGCTTAGGGCCGGCACCACGATGGTGTGAAGCCCCCAGCAGCAGCAGCTCATGTCTAGGCCCTCCTGGGCGAAGGGGCAACCTCGGCTGCGCCAGCAGCAGCCCCGAGGAGGCAGCAGCTCCTGCAGCAGCTCCAGGCCCCAGGGCCGGGAAGCAGAACCAGCAGGGACGAGGTGCGAGAGAGAAGCTCAAAGCCAAATTCGGGCACAACAGGGAAGGAGAATACTCATCACAGATAAAACACTGCAGTTAGCTACATACACAGCATTTACATGGCACGGAGACAGCTGACGGTTTTATGCAATTCTCTCTTGCTCCTCTCAGCCATGAGAGGAAAAAAATATCCCAGATCAAACATTTGCAATGTTACCATCAAGCTGCCCTTGTGAACACATGGCTCAGTGCCCGACTTACCTGAAGAGAGTCTACTGCAACTGCTAATCTCAAACATTCAACATCTGCAAAACTTTTATAAAAATAAAGCCAAAATGATTGCCTACATTCTTTCTTTATAGTCAATGCTTTTCCATAATCTGTTCCTGAACCACAGTTAAAAAGTGAAAAATGAAAGCAAAAGTGTGAAATGCCAGTACAATTATCTGACTCAAATGACATATTTTAAGCATTTTTTTCTAGAAAAAGAATGAAAGAGAGGAGATGATTCTTACTTTTGGGTGGTAAAACGGACATTCCATTTTCTTACAAGCAGGAAAAAACTTGCACAGGGGATTACCGGAGGGTGTGGGTGGTGTGGGTAATGGTGCTGACAGGAGAAAAGAAGCAAATGTTAAAATCTCAGTTTTTTTGCAAGGAATTAAGTCTTAAAACAACTCAACACTCTGCAAAGACACAGGAAGTATTTCACTGTGCCCCGAATGAATCTACTTCTGCGTAAAGCAAGACCATTAGCAGCAGTTCTTTACCCCTGCAGGACAGAAGGTACCAATGTGCTGCTTCACAGAATCCCAGATGGTTGAGATTAGAAGGGACCTCTAGGGATTATCCAGTCCAACCCCACCCGCTCCACCAGGGACACCTACGGCACGTGGCACAGGGAGGCATCCAGGCGGGTTTTGAAGATCTCCAGAGAAGGAGACTCCACAACCTCTCTGGGCAGCCTGTTCCAGGGCTCTGTCACCCTCACAGTAAAGAAGTTCTTCCTCATACGGAGGTGGAACTTCCTGTGTTTCAACTTGCACCCGTTATCCCTTGTCCTGTCACTGGCCACCACCAAGAAGAGTTTGGCCACATCAACGCAATGCAAAGTTGGCTGAACCTTACTGCCACCGGCACCTCCACATCAAGGTCACTAGCAAGTTTAATTTGTATCACACCCAACACATTAAGCAGAAGTTTTGGTAGGCAGCAAAATTCAAGTTTTGGATTCAGACAGCAGCAAGCACACTAAAGCTAAGAGGACTTAAAAAGCACAAGCAGAGCATTTCCAGGAACGCACAGAGGTCCTGGAAGCGATACAGGAGATGAGCACGTTGCACAGGGTGCCTTCTGGCAGGGTAACAAAGCTGCCCTCTGCCACGATGAGGGGCTGAGCACTGCCCAAAGGGCAGCGACTGCAGCGAGGCCCAGGGCCTCTGCCTCGGCACTGCCCAAGGGCTCCGAGCACAACCCCGACCCCACACGCAGCACCTGCGCTCACTGAGACACCTCGCTCCCAGGAAGGCATCTCGTCATTCCAGAGAGTTAATTCCAGTACAGCCGAATGACAAAAAAGTGTTCACATAAGTTTTAAAGTCTGAAACAACCTATCTTTTCAGTTTGTGTCTTAAATTCTTGCTACAACAGGAATCCAACCTGAGGAACAATTCTGAGTATATCTGCTCTTGCAGTATTGGCTAGCAACTCCATCCTTCTAAAACAAGGGACTGTGCAACCCTTTGCTTTCCAAAGCCAAACCCTTTGGCTTTCCTTCATGCAGACTCCTACATAACCAGAGATTTTTCTGAGTTTTTGCAGTAATACTGGATTATTAACTGGATTTCCACACAATACTAGTTTCTCTTTCCACCACATTCACTATTTTCCCTTCTGTATTTATTCCTTCCTAAATTTATTTGAAGAACAAAAAAGCCAGAGGTGCTCACCTGGCTTTGGAGCTGGAAGCGGGGTTCGCCGACTGGCGTGGGTGTAAGGGCACTCCGGCTTGGTGCATTTTGCATCGTATTTACAATTTGGATGGATGAACAAGCATTTATCAGCAAATTTGCAGTTAGGAAAGAGTCTGAGGAAGGAAAAAAAAATCACGCAATTATTTTATTGCATTATATTGCAATATTTTATTGCCTGCATTCACTGCAGGGCATTTGGGTGTAGTGGACTAGCCCTACACGCACTTTCCTTTTGGATGCTCTTTACATACAATAAATAACTGAATTACTTGACACTCAGCAGAGTTTGGTAGCTTGCAACAAGTGGCTTGCTAACATGCCTTGCTTTCAGTGTGCATTGCAGGGCAGCTGGCAGAACTGTGAATTCAGCCCTTTGCTAAAGGCAACTAGAAATTCCCTATGAAATATGGTCCACTTACTGAAGCGAAAGTAGTATGTACTTATGTGTACTTATAGATGTGTGATTTTAAAGGAAGATTCATGTATTCAAGTAAATGAAGCCATCCAATCTCATAACACCTATCTCCGTAGGTGTTTCTAATCTGTTGCTGCTTGTGGAAGAGAAATCAAAGACATCCAGAGTCAGCCTCTGCTTTCAAATACAAAAATTACCATCTTAGTGTAATAAAACATGCTTTAAAGAATTGTGATATCTAGCAGAGAAGTGCTGTTCTTTTAAGGTGACTCCCAATCCCACATCCATAAGCAAAACACAAGAACATCAGCCTGCATGTTAAAACTAAACTTTCTTCTGCAAGAGCACAGCTGTGATTTCACTTACTGTCAACTGGACTGGATTCTGCCACTTGATAGAAGAAACTGCAGTGCAATAACCTAGCTCTTACCTTAACCATATCAGATTTAAACTGCCTTAGTATTTAATAACAGACTGCTCTGTACATCTGTGCACGCTTTGTGCTCCCACTCACTTGCAGGGCAGCGTGGGGTGGTGGTACACGCACTCGTCTCCGTGCTTACAGGCAGGCCAGTACTTGCAGCGCTCGAGCACCTTCTCCTTGTGCAGCACACCCAGCTGCTCCAAGTCCACTGCAGAAAGAGCAAAGAGAAAACCCCAAACTGAGACCTTACCAATGCCACGTGCAATATGCCTTAAATATACAGCGTAACTGAAATTCAAAATGTTTCCTTTTCCTTCTCTGTCTAAATGACTAAATGTCAACATTTGGACTAAATGTTGACAAGCTTTTTTTTTTTTTTTAATAAAAAAGGTCTTTCTCAGTAAAACTTTCGCAAAACCATAGTACCTGAAGGAAATTCCAACACTAGAAAGTGGGACAAACCGTAACATTTGACAAAAGCAGCCCCTAGTGATAAAGGATTCAACATTTACTGTTTACAAGTAAAATAATTCATTTTCTAAGTTTCTAACAGAAAGTGAAATGGATCAGACTTTCATTGAGCAAGACTAAGAAAACAGTTCTTCAACAGAGCCTCAGTTACACTGTTCTGCTGGGCTAATTACTTAAACAGAGATTTACCTTAGTTATCTGAACTTAGACTCTCAGAAAGTATTTTAAAAAAATTCCAATCTGAAACCAGTATCTTCACTGCTACAAGAACCTGGGGTTTGAACTTTTTTAAAAATCTCATTTTCCCAAATTCAGACTATAAGGACAGATATTCTTACACCTTCCCTGTTCTCTTAGCTATGCAAACCTGCATTTGGCTTCTCAAAGCTTTCCAGGATTCCCAGACATACCTCCCTAACCTCACTAGCGATACTTGCTGAAGCTTTATTCCATCTTCAGCCTCATTCAGGCATTCTTCTGCTTAAAGAATTTTCTAATTTAAGGAATAAAGCCCATCTCTTATTTGTTAAGAGTGGTATATCCAGAATCCAACCACCACACTCTTGTTGGGTCCTGCTGGTGATATTAATTACCATCAGAGCTCTCCAGCTGCCTGGTCACAATTTGCATCTGCTGTGCTCGAAGGCCTTTTAATCCTCTGCCTGTGCACATATTTGGGATAATTGGCTTTAATCCTTCAGTAATATCTTCCTCTTCCTGATCAGAAAGGTATCCTGGAGGACTAGGCACACCATCCAGCGTCACTATGAACTTGGGACTAGCAGGTTTCTCTGGCTGCGCAAGCTGTTCTCTGCCAAACAAAAAAAAATGAGTTTTTGACTCAAAAGGCCTGAATAAAAGTGACCAGGAGCACAAACACAGCAGCACAAACTAATCTTTCATTAAGACAGATAATTTACTTCAATTAACAGTTTGTCTTTTGGGCTCTCTGAAGCACTAAGCAGTAGAGTATACAACAGCATACAGCAGATTTCACAGCTTTATTTCAGTTTGTTGCATCCTGCTCAGATAGATCCAAAAGCTCGTTTACAGACAAAGTTTAATAAAGGATAATGATTAACCTGTTATGAATTTACAGTTTTGAGACAAAAATGGGAATGTAAATATTGGTCTCAGAACCATGAACCTTTTAAGAACACAGCAGCAGGTATTTCCTCAGAAATACTGAGCATGATGAAAGAGGGGGTATAAAGGTTTGTAGGGCTGAGAAGAGACACTTGAGACACTGAGGAGTAGGAGCTTTTATGCTCAGCCAGACTGAAACTAGACCAGAGAGCAGTGCCTGGTGGTAGCCAGAGGGGATAAAACAGGGAGTATAAGAGCAGAGGACACATCCATGATAGTTGCCAAACACTTTTCCACCGTCCCACCCACTTCACCTGAAGGGCTTCCTGAGCAGAATGTCGTTTGAAACACACTACAGAGGTCTCCGCTTTGATAAATAGTGATTACATAAACTTTGTTTCTCTACCAAAAAGTCAAGCTAAAAGCAATTATGGTGCATAATGCTGCTAAAAATAGACAGAAATGAAACATAAAAAAACAAGCAAATAAACAAAAACAACAACAAAAAAGTGCCAGAAGTCAAAAGCAGATTTATTTAGATGCAAAAATTCGGTACTCCCCAATGGCAGGAAGCTTCCCATTTTGCTCAGGAAAGTGAAAGCTGCAAATTTCCACACTGGAGTGAGAAAGCACAACAGCCTACACTGATCAACCTCATCGCATCGCCCCGGGTAGCTTGTGCCCTAACCGGTCAGGTGTGCATATACATTGATAAAACTATTCTGCAGCAGCAGCTATCACAGCATAAAAAGCACGAAGAAGATTGTAGCCTGCTGGTCGCTCACTTAAAGGAATCACACTCCAAAACATCATTTGCAGCTGATAGGAATTCTAAAATTCCCTTGGTCAAACTCCATGGTAAACAGCCTTAACTGACTTGTCTCACACACTGTTTGCTGGCTCATAGGTTCTGAGCTTCCCAGGGAATGCACTGGTTTTCCTGCAACACTCCCAGGAGAGCTCAAACAGGCCTCACCACACTCAGCAGTGACTTAAAGGTCATTTCATAGCAAACATATCTCAAGGTCTGAGAGGTATAAAGCTGAATTATACTACTAAATAGTATAAATATATATATGCTTCTATTCAGTTCCTCTGTCCTCTTAAAAATCAGAGACCTGCTCTAACGACAGCTCACCTTGGGAACTACTTTCAAGTTAGAAGGAAATCTCACTTTTTGCACTTGCCTCTCTCCTCCCTCTCCACTCTTCAACATCGGCCCATCCTCCGTGGTGTCACATACCCTGACTAGGCTCACACAGCACAGGAAAGCAGGATGATCCCATTTAGAGCACAGACAAGCACTCTCACTAATAAAAGATTCCTTTTATGACAGCAAGTAGGGGCTCTTTAAACTTTTAGCATAAATAACAAAGCATCTTTTTACCGCGTCTGTATTAGACGTCCTGAGAGTGCTCGTATTGCCTCTGTGGCCCTCTTTCCCAACTGCTGATTCTGTGGCATTATTTCCTCAGATAACTTGGGCTTCTTCAGGATAAATGACCTAGTATCCGTATGGACCACAGATTCTGTGTCATAGTAATCTGAATTGGAGAAAAATTACACAGAAAAAATAAGAGAAAAATGATCACATAATTGCACTCTAATTTCAGCATATTTCTGAATATAAAGACCATACATCTGATGGTCTAACTTTCTTTTCAGTTATTATCAGTCACTCACAGTAAACAGTTTTACTTCCTCTCTTATTCCATAAAAAATCATCAACAGAAGCCACCGGCCCTATCAGGCCTAGCCAGGCAACTTTGCTACTGGATCACCTGTGCTGAAACAGCATGGAAAGGGATCCACACACATGCACACAAAATCTCTCAGGCTTTGAGCACTTACTGATGTAACACTTCATTTCTTAAACACATAGAAAAATGCTAAAAATCAGTATAATTAATTTAAAAGGAAATTATATTTTAACTAGTAGGAGTCAATTTGAGAACTAGCTTTTTTTAAAAAAATAAAAATAAAAATAAAAAATAAAAGATCATGAGACTTAACCTTGAGTCACTTGCAAAGTATCTTCAATCACAGGGTCAATCTGGAGCCGAGAAGAGAGCTCCTTTTGTTCAGCTCCTAAAAAATCCAGGAATTAGGAGCTTATTTTACTGCATCTTAAAAGAAACTACAGATTGAAGAACTGAACCATACTCCTCTAATTCTCTTCTGGAAATAAATAAATAAATCACCACCCTTTACACATGTCTAATAGAAAAAGCAATTCTTGCTATTAAGGACCCCTTTCTCCTTGTTTCAGAAACTGTAACAAGTTTTGCCCAGCAGGATGGCACAGCAAAACCCAATTATTAAAAGAATTTAGTCTTTCCTATAATCATCACTCAGTATAGACTAGGTCTGTGGGTGCAAAAATGGATAAAGTTCAAATTCTTCAAATTCTTTTAACACCTTTAGACGTGTTAACTACTTCAGAGAACATACGTACACATGGAAAACAGCTAGACTACAAGGGACCACCGTATAATCTAGGTAAGAAAACCAGAATAGCACTGTTCTATATTTGACTTACTGTTACAGTTTAAAAATATACATATATATTGCTTTCTGTGGGTTGATTTCAAAAGAGCCAAAAATAACTATTTTCTGTATCTTTAATCAGATAGAAAAAGCTTCTTCATACATATTCCACATAAACTGTTAAATTGTTCTGTGATGGCAGAACTCCAACTATGGCTACATGAAAAGTAAGAGACTTTGGTTTTAATGGCAAATATTTACCTCTCCTTGACACTGACATGAAGCCTAGGTAACCAAGACCTTACTGCAGCCAAATTTTACTCTTCAATCTTACTACTTTGTGAGAGTAAAGCAGGTTTATTCTTGCAGAAGCACTTTTTAATGTGTATAGGTATGTAATTCTTTAGTACTGTTATTTATTATTGCTATATATGTATAACTTTGTAATGAACACACTGTGTTTCTCTACAGCATAATCATTCTGAAAAGAACACTTGGCTGTCTCTAAATAGTATGCTCAGAGTTTTATATCAAGCAGAAAGAAAACTTGATGTTCATACAGTTATCCTAATATTCACTTACATAAAGTAAGTGAAAACACTGAAGCTACTTATGTGATAACAGTATGTTGGAAAATATCTTCTAATGCTTCTCCAAACACCCATATTTTAGCTCTCTCACAGAAGCTTTAGGACTGATTTTCTCCCAGGAGACATCAAGCATGCAACAGATGGGAAAAAGAAACTCCACCTCAATATAAATGGATACATTTGCGTATTGCTCCGTTATGCAAAATCATTCTTTATAGTGATATGCCAGGATGCTAAACAACCTTTCGCTCTCCAAGTGGCTGATTTGAGTTATTCATATATCATATTGACACGTCTTACCATATACTCATGTTTCAGAAAGGTTCTTGGCTTTCTGTTTGTTCCCACATGAAACTTGATGCCAACTCAAATATTAAAAGCATCAACTCAAATATTTTTCATTTTTTCTATGAGATGCTTAAAAGTATGAGAGCAGCTAACAAAGATACACTTGATAAGCTCAGATAAGCTCAGATATTAGAAGTTCAAGCCAGGCTATCCAATGCATTCCTTCCTTCCCTCTAGTGCACCCCAGTGACACGTCAGTCCATACGGTATTCTAGTCAGGCATATGTGAACAACATGCTGCTCGGCCTGCTGTAAAATGATGTTCCTAGGGATAAATTTTTAAAGAACATTATCAAATGACCTTGAATTCGTTCAATTGTCTGTTCCTTTGGCTCTTCTACTTGAAGCTGAGAACTCAGAGCAGGAAGTCTGCTTTGCACATGGATTACTTCTAACTGAGATTCTTCTGGGGCAAATCGAGTTCTCGGTGCAACTGGAACAGTCTGTTTCTGCGGAACTTTGTTTAAAGAAACAATGGTAAATCATTTTAGTACTACCCAGTCACTCAACAGTATTATATTTGTATATGTCCTAAAATAACTTTGAATAATTCAAAACAAAACACCACTCTAGGTATTACTATCTAGCTGTAAAGTTCACAGTGTAAAAGTGCACTCGTGGATGTGTACAGAGCCCTCCGCGAGCTGCACTGCAGAACATCCACCTGCGAGGCAAAGCTTAGTCTTTTTCCAAAAGCTGAAATGCAGCATGAAAACAATTAGACTGACATCAGCAAAGCATTCATTCATCCAATACCTCGCAGCATTTATTTAGTGAAAACTGGACTCTTCTGCGATGTCAAATTCACTTTTCTTTCTACTTTTTCATCTGAACATCTGAACACTATGGATCATCAAGGTGTGCTTCTAATACATGCGATGCCAGATAATCTATGCGAAGGTGAGTTGTAAACTGAATAGAAAGCTTGATGACAACAGCATGGAATTTGGGGATAGCAGGAGGAACAGCTTTGCCTGTTTTTTTGCCAAGATCATCAAACTGCTTGTGAAGAGCTCAGCATATCCATTCCCTAGCTGAATACCACACCTGCACTTCTAACTTGCTAACCACTGTCACACCTGACCATTAGCACAGAGTTAAAAGATAAAGCTCAGTACTGGATGTATCATTCAAGACCTTTCTTTTTTTTTGTTTTGTTTTACATATTTAGCATATTCTGTTCAGGAAAAAAAATACAAATCAACAAGATATGAAATATTATCCCTAAAGAGGAAGTACCTACATTTTCATGTCCACAAGTTAAACTATACAAGATCACTGCTGTCGCAAATCAACAGTTTTCATTTATTTTAAAATTTTCTGGCTATGTCCCACTTTGTGCAATACTGCTGTGTGAGCAGGAAAGAGCTTCCTGCATCCCTCAGACCTCCTCGGTTCCCCACATTGCCACTTTTCCTATCATAATCTCATTTTTCATTGTAGAGCCAGAATCAGAACGCAGGAACATTATAGCTCCTATTTCTTCTCTTTACAAAAACTCTTCATTCTGCTTCCCATCTAGAATGAAGATGAGCTCTTAATGCTTGGGGAGCACTTGTGCTATTCATTATGAATGAAGAAGCTTAATAATGTCCTTTTTATAGTTCATTTACTGTACAAAATATATTTTGCAAGTAATCAAGCGATTCAACAATTATTCACAATTCTTAAATTATTTCTCCTTCAATGTTAAGGTCGGCAATGATCTTTACAACCTCTTTCATACAATTTTTCTGGTTCACGACCAGCCCACTTTACACCCAATTTCCAGCATGCAAGGACATGTCTCCCAGCCTTTCAATACAGAAATCTTCCATCACATTTCTCATGCCTTCTCCTTTGGATCTACTCATCACCACCAATGCTACTTTGTTGTATACAAGGAACCACCCGAGGGAAGACACTCACCATGACTACTTTGTAAATATGCTAATGTGGAAGGAAGTCATGTCTCTGTTACAGTCAGTCTGTAGGTTTTTGAGAGACAGTGGGACAGATTCTGAATTGCTTTCACTCTTGCTTCAGATGGCACTAAAGCAGATAAGTCATGGTCTAGGTAATTTAGTGAATGCTCTTCCCCAGCAATTTGCAACATTCCATGTTGACAACACTAGATTTGTTAATATCCAACTATATGAAAGCTCAGAATCACAGCTGGAACTGCCCTTCTTCAGGGAAAGTCTTTATTAGCTAAGAAAACTGAATTAAGAAACTTTTCAGTTGCAGTATGAGCTGCAACTCAATTTATAAAACTACAGTTACAAGGTCACTGGTTTTAGCAAAATAATGATATTCAACCTATATTCTCTATTTGTTGCTTGTTATTTTATCATTATCCTGTTTTTTGTTGCTTGGTATTTTGCACCTTCATTACCTCTTTGCTTCCTTGCTGTTTGGCCTTTTTTCTCCCTCCCAGGAAGGAAGGAAGGGAGCGCAGAAAGGGGAAGAGAAGCTCAAACAACCTCCCTAATATTGGCCACTCTTACAAAGACAACTATTAACACTTTGGAAAATTCCTGGCGCTGCCATTTTCTCTATATACTTCAGGGACCTGTCACTTTAATTAGTATGCTTTAAAGACATTTCCTCCCTGGTTTATGCTTTTGTAATCTATTGCAGGTTTTAAAATGTACACAGGACATGCAAAAGCCATTAAGTATATTGCTGACATTCACTATTCTACTTTGTTTTCTCTCTTGGCACTACATTTAGCTCAGATTTATAAAACAGGGCTTGGAAACAGCCTAGCACAAATAAAGACAATGCTAGTTACCTGTAGAGTAATTGGTTGTTTTTGTAACTGATTCTTGTGCTTCAGAGATTGCTTTCAGTATTAAATTTTTATTGGCCTGTTTGGAAGGTGGTAGTGAAGGTCTAAGGGAGATGGAAAAACAATTAGTTGCACATGAATTGCAACAGCCATTGCATCCACGTTAAACATGGATACTTTGACACGTTAAACAGAGATAAGCACAACACTGATAAACTCAGCACCTAAGAATTCACTCTAGGTACATTTTCAGCCTTTTAATCCAAATGCTCTCAAAAATGGAAGTCCAGAAGCATGTTTCACCTGGTAGATTAAGCTGCTATAAAAACCACGCTGCACCCGAAAGGCAAAACGGTGCCTTGCTGCTGCACCCACCTCTGCCCATACATTCCTGATGCCACCCCTGCATCTGCACTAGCAACCACATGGCTGCCCCAGGAAGCAAGATCTGCCTGAAAACTGACTCTCTTTAGATAGACGGATTTATATTATACACATATACATAACACATATACACACACAAAACTAGTTATATAGAAAGCCTCCTGTTTCTCTCTGAACATCAACAACTAAGAAGTTTAAGTCAGACAGACATGCTGTAGGGCTGAAAATAAATTCAACAAAATGTATTAGCTTCAAACAAATCTAATGATTTGATATTCTCTGTGCTGAGCTAGCACAGGAGATCAGAAGAATTGCCTCTTCTCTAGTTTAAATGTTCTTCCTCTTATTACTGAAACACACAGATATAAATCATGAACGAACCTCGACTGACAGAAGTCAGGAAAAAAATTTCACATCCTTTGTAAAGTTAATATAGTCTTAAGGAATACAGTAACATAAAGAAGCAAGTCTTATTAAAAAAAAAAAAGCCAAATCCTAAGTTTTCCACTAATTTCTTGGTTTATATTACAGTAATAGAAACTGCAATGACACTAAAAGGCAAGTGCAGGAAAGAGAATCAGCTTTGTCTGCTTTATCTGATCAGACACAATTGGTTTGGAGACTATTCCTAGAGTAAAAGCAAAGTAATCAAAATGCTATCAAAGTTATGACACTAAATTAAGTATGTGGGCTGAGGCACTTCAAGTTTAACATTCTTTGGTCAGTGGACTTTTCCCAGAAAATCGAAAATTTCATAGTCAATTGCTACATATGCACAATACTAAAATCAGATTATAAAATTAGAGAAAAAAAGTGGTATAAGCAGATATCTCACAAGCAGAGGTGTGAGACAAAGTACAAAAAAAAAAAAAAAAAAAAAAGTAGTAAAAGGCTTACTGCCTTTTTTCCCCTTAATTTTTCAGGAATTGCAAGCAATTTTTACCAGCTCTCACATTCAAAGTTTTTGTTCCTTAAATTCATTCCGGAAATCAGACAAAATCACACAGGCTTTAAGTACCTTCTTTCTGGCTTTGCAGGTACCGACACACTGCTGGAGATGCTTCCTATTCGCAAACTGTAGTCTTCCTCTTCCTCCTCCTCTTCCCCATCATTACAGAACTTTTTCACTTTGACTACTGAGCTTACGACGGGCAACCTTCTCTTCCTGGAGTTTTCTTCCTACAATTAACAGAGCAACCAAAACAATCCATTTAACGCAAGACACACAATAAGCCACAACTAAAATACTGCAGTTCTACTTAAAGCCAGAAGGTGGAGAAGTTCAAAGTGCCTGAACAGTACTGCACTGTGCACAGAAACAAAAGTAACAGTTTTAGAGTAACTTCATTTTTCTCTCTTCACTGTAGCACCTCTAGCTTTAGATTCAAGAATTAATATCTGGAAAGCTGACAGACTTCAAATGATTTGGCTATGGAAAGTCAGACTGGTCCAGCTTAAGAGAGTGCCATACCCCTGTTTTCATACAGGCAACCACCACTATCCTTCAAAAAAATGGTAGTGGCAAATGCAGATGTTGAACTGCCTGGAAGCACAGGAGAAGGAATCTACCTTGATACATTCTCTCTTTGGGAACCATCATTCAACACTGAACCACACAGGAGCTCAATACAGTATTTGGACATTAGAGCTGAACAACTACAGGATACTATGTACCCAAGAGGGAGGGATAAGTATCCTTAAGGGTAGTTGTGCACTACACTGATACAGGAAGCATATGGTAAAACAAGCAAACAAATCAATTCCACTAATATCAATAAAAAAGGCCACAAGAACTTGTCTATTAAAAATTGTCTGTTAATAAAATAGTAATAAAAGAAAATTACCACAAGACCCTTTTCTAACATATGACGGAGAGAAAACGACCGTCAAATGACAGTCATTTATGTACAGCCTTATACAAATCACTATATTCTCATTCTCACACCCTCATTTCCTCATTTAAAAAGTTATCAACATACATCTTGGTAAAACATTCTAAGTTTCTCAATTAAACCACTATTCTTTGTACAAAATTACGTAAAGTTACAGCAAAGACAGAATCCACTCAGAACAGAAGGCATATAAAACTTCTCTATCATTATCATATTAGCGGCCATAACAATCATCCTTTTCACAAAGGCTCTGAACTGATCGATATGAATAGTCTTAAAACTATTAGATGGGACTATCAACCTGCCTGGATTATTCTAGCCTCTAAAGTAAGTAGGTCAGCAATCACATTTGAGATTGCATTTGATTCCAACGAGTTCTTAAATTCCATGAGTTTACACAGCATAATAATAGTCCTAGTAAGCAGAATCACCAAGCTTGGGAGACAAATATACAGGATTTCTGTCCCCCGCCTCCTGGCAAAAAAAAGACAAGATATAGATGGCAACTAACGACGAACTAGCAACCTGTGAAGCATTAAACTATGCATCTGTTTTGATCAGTTTACTCAAGGGGCAAAATTCCAAACATAATGGTATCAGTCACAGAAATCCTTTGATTTCTCCAGAGCCGAGATCTAACTTGAGAAGTATATATCAATTTTGATGTCTAGCAAGTATGAAATACAACAATACTTAGATCATACTAACCTCACTGCCTACTTTATCAGCACAAAGTTTGGAGGTGGGTCTGTAACTCTCTGCTAAGCTGCCAAATGCTTCCGCGTTGCACATCTGGACTGTGTCCAAAGACCGGCAGCTCTGCCCATCCAACTGCCGGCCCCCCTGTAAGCTGCCCTGTTGGGACAACCTGTGCACGTGGCCGTCCGAGTTCCTGCTAGCTGGTGGCCGGTAGATTTCAGCAGTAGGACGAGAAGAGCCGTAAGTTACAGTTACAATAGGTTTCTTCCGTGACAAAGGATTCTCCTGTACAAAGTTCAGATCTTCGTCAATTAGATCATCTGGTTCGGGTTTAATGTCGATTACAGCTTCAGAGGGTGACAATTCCCTTAAAGGCTTCACGGCAGATGTTAAGCGGGATGCAGAACCATCTTCACAAGACTGGCTGATAAAATAAGAGATTGTGAAATATTACCTAACTTGCAAATAAACTTCAGGAAAATAAGAGCTCCCCTCTAAACAAAGCCAGCACACAGGAATCATGAAGATACTACTGTTTATACAAGCCTAACATGCTTGACCTCTATTCTCATTAATTAATTCATTTATGATTAATTAATATACGCACAACTGTTGCTTAAAAACATGCAATGGAATTCCTGACTTTGTGTTTTATGCAACAAATTGTAGCAATGTTTTACTAATTAAAACTATTCTGATCTTTCCAAGCATCAAAACTTTTCTTTTCAAGTAGCTGTGCTCTTCTGGAACAACTATTCCCATCACAAGGTCTGAATCCCTGTCACTAAACAAGCCTTACCGTGACGTAGTATTTCTCTGTTCCTGTGAGCTAGTCGAAACTCTGGAGTCATTTCTTTCAGTCCGAGTGCTGGAAACTGCAAGAGGTGGCAGGATATCCTCACGCCTCTTCTCATCACTCACACATGAGCTGCTTTTGCTGGAAGGAAGGTTGCTCTCAAAGATATTAGATTCTGAAGATTTTACACTAGTTGTTTCTGTGGACACAGGTACCTTTTGTTTTACATCAGAGTATAGCAACAAAGCTTTGCAATACAGTTAACTAAGTAACTACAAATAAGACATTGCTCCACCCCAAAAATACAACACGCTGAAACCTACTTCAGCTCAAGACATAAGAAAGAACCTTTCTAAAATAATTTTGCTTCTGAAATAAAGATCAAAGCAATTTTCTAAAGAGTGGCTCAAAAAGACCATACAAATTCAAAATGAACAAAAGTCAGTTAAGACCTTTTTTGAAACTCACTAGACCTGCAGGACTACACAGAAGTGATGCATATTTTCAACTTACACTCTTAAATCATTTTCTTACTTACCAGTAGTCACAGATCGCAGCTTATCTAAAACACCATGCAGCCTGAAAGAAGGAAGAAGAGCGAACAATGCACAAGAGAAAAATGAAAAACAGAACTGTAATATCTTCCAGAAATAAATCATATTTTTTCCATATATAATAAGAGTCTTCTTTATCTAAGACTTGACTTTCAATCATTGACATTGGTACTTAGGGACATGGTTTAGCAGGCAGGGTGGTGATGGGTTTACAGTTGGACTTGATGATCTTAAAGGTCTTTTCCAATCATAATGTTTCTATGATTCTATGACATACAACTGAACTAAAAAATGAGTGGTTTAAGTGTCTCATCTCTCATGAGCCAACCGTCCATGTGCGGGTAAGGTATCCACCGCATGATCTGTTTTTGGCATCTATCTGGTGTAGAACACTAAAGCAAATGTTAAGTGCTACATCCCAGTCCTACACTCAATGAAGTGACTTAACTGTCTCCAAAAGGAGTGATTTCAAAACCTCAATTAGAAGCCTGAAGTATAGATGTGAATTTTACTTCATATATAAAGCCTTTAGTTTTACAGAAAATAGTTAATTCTAAATCCAAGCATAACAATTTTACAATTCATGGCACATAACATACTCAGGAATAATAAACTCTGAACACAGAAAAAAATCTCTGGGACATACTGGCAAGCAGATAACATTTTGAGAAGTAGTAAATCTATTGTTTGTCTGCACTAAATGCATCAAGCTGAAGCAATACGATTCTTGAAAAAAAATCAAAAGGCTACAACACATCACTTTAAAAATCTACAAATTGTAGGTGTAACATTTAACATAATTTTCTATGTAGTTTTTTTTTCACCTCTCCTCTTACAGCTTACTGAATACAACATCTAGTCTTCTTTTTCATCATCCTTTTAACTAATACCCATTTCATTGTCTCATAAAGCAGTCTGAAATTCAACTTATATTTACTGACAGATGAGAATACTGAATTGAGATATTAAAAGACTCTTATCTGGGGAATTTTAAAAAAGATACCATCAAAACAAGCAAGAGATATACCTGTTACATATAACTGATATCCATTTCTAAGTGCAAACAAACAAACCCTTAATGTCCATTTCCCGATGAAATTCTTCTCTAGATTTATTTTTTTTTCCAATAAAATTTTAGCTTTAACTACAAAGCCATGAAATCATTTTCTTCCTATTATTTTAAGTGTGCATCAGGATTCATTTGAAATCCTAGTAGTAGAGTAACTTCAACAACTTGTTAAATTTGTCCCATTGCTTTTCCAAAACCATGGGCAGAAAGACAACTTCATGCATTATTGATATAGTGAATGTCAACATATTTGATTAGGCAGGCCAAAGGAACAAAGAACATAAAAGCCAGAGTACTTAAAAGAAAAAGAAAGGAGAAGAGGGTTAATTGCATTCTCCCTTCTTATATTTTGACAAACGCTTAAAAAAAAAAAAAAAAAAATCAAACTTTGAAAGCAGACTCAAATTATGCCGATGCAAGTAACAATGTCACAGGAAAAACATCAGTTTAAACAGTTAACATAGTGAATCATAGTATTTAGTTTTCACTTTTTTCAAACTTTTATGTTTTAATACTTATTCAACTCCTAAAATGTTTCTCTTCTGATACTTAATTGCACAAAAGCTCCTTATAACTAAGGGGAACCTCACTAACCATGTAGAAGACGTGTTGGAAGAGAGCATATCCAAGCAGTAAACTGCAAAGGAGGTAAACTGAAAAAGCAGGAAAAAATGTAATATATTGTCTAATCTATGCACATGAAAATAACATTCCTTAAAACTGTCTTATGTGAAAAACTCAAAAATAAGGTTAACTTGGAAAAATATACAACTGCGAATGACAGGAAAATGCTGGAGTGATCTAATATCCATTTGAATACTCTGTTCAAATACTTTAAAACCTAGACTTTATTAACCTATTATCTTAATACTATAAGCCAAATTCAAGTGTTAGAAAATGCCTGAGAAATGCTGTAGTAGCTATATCTCTTATGCAGCACAACATAAATTAATCCACTGCTGTCAGAGGCTTAGAAAATAATTCATGTTTTGCTAATTTTTCTTCCTCACAGTAATTCCGAAGTTCTAGTTTTGCTTTGTAGAGCTGGGTGGTGTTGATAAATAAACAGCCTGAGAGGTGGGAATATTTAAGCATCTGGTGCTAAGTCTTGTCAAAAACGGATAAACACAATTAGATTCACTGGTCATCTGTCCCAATATAATAATTCCTATGTACAAGAGCAGTCTGAAGCACTATTAGCAAGAAAGCAAAGAAGTTTAAAGAAGTACTTTACATCTAACTACAGTGAATTCTTGCACTCACAGTGGGCTTTGCACAAAAAGTTTTTGAATTTTTTGGCCCTCGGTTACCTCAGCATTTCACACCATTGGACCTAGGAGGAAAATATAAGCCCTCCAATCCTTTGTCACTTAATTACCGCTGCAGTGGCTTAACTACTGACAGACTAAAAGTAATTTATTCATTAGTGCTGCATAATAGAAAGCTTTGATTAATGTAAATAACAATGAAAAGATCAGTAACTTACTAAATTCTCAAGTTTAATTTATAGAAATCAGTCCTGATTATTGGCAAGAAGTGTGACAAGTAGCTCACAAACATACCATACAGTAAATCTGACAGTATTGTTTCCAAGGAAAAGGGAAAGGTCCTCTGTCATCTGCTCCTGGCTCTTCTTATTGGCCACCATAACCATAATATAATCAGGGAGCTCTTCATCTAATAGAAAGAGAAACAGGCCTCTACATTACTTTTGAAAAGGTCACTAAAATATGTTGCTTTAAAGTATAATAAGAGATATACCAAACAAAACCTCAAACAAGCAATTTTTTTTTCTCCCATCAAACAAGAGTCTTGGATAAAGATACCACCAAGTCTTCCATTTTTTCTGAGGATCAATACAAGTTTCGCTCTGACTGCTGAATAAAAGACAGTCAACTTCACAAAAGCACAAACAGAAGGCAAATGCAAAGCAAATGCAAGAAAACAACCACCCTCCCAAAGAACCATATAGAAGAAAACTACAAAACAAGTACAATTTCATACACAGTGAAAAACCTCCTGCCATTATAGGCCTGCTAACACTGGCTATGTCTTCCAATAGGATTGGACATGCAGCTGCTGATAGTCCAGCATCAACAAGTTAAGGGTTTGGGCAACATATTTAAGGGAATGAACTAGCTGCTACTGCTAGGTACTTGCAATACATTAAATGGAAAGTTGCTCCGAATACTTAAGTCAAGAAAAAGAAGAAAGACGACAAAAATTTGGAAATAGTGAATAGTAAAAGAGAGAGGTCAAGGAAAATTATATTTGGAGATAAAGAATATTACATTTAAAGAAGTTCAGAAACTGGGAGGAAAACATAGATATTGTACAATGATGTTGGGAGCTGCATTCTAAACACAGGAAACACCAAAAAAATTAAAGCACAGGAGAGGAAGTAGCCACAGCTGGAATCACAGATTATAAGTATTCTTTTTACTAGCACCTTGGTATTAGAGATAACAAAGTATTTTCAGAAATACTGAAAAAAACAAAAGCATTGAAAAAAATCAAGGACTGAGAGGCTGAAACCCAGAATAGTAGTAATATTGAGAGGCACTGAGCGACTTCACTGTTTTTTTTTTCCTTCAATTCCCTTGCCACCATTTCTCCTTGAAAGAGAAGTCTGTGAACTTCCTTAGCTATATTCCTTTAACACTTTATTTCATCAGTGCCCACATACTGTTTTCCTCCTTCACGTGAACTATCCATATTTTGTGAAGAAAAAAATCTTTTCTCTTTCGTAGTAGCCCAGCACTTCAGAAAATTCATCACAGGCATAAGGTTTTTTCATGCAGTAGTGCAACTAATAATAATGACAATCTAAGGAATGGCATCAACTGGCTAGTGGTTTCCTGTCCATATAATGAATCTAAAAATGACTGCTAAGTGAGAAAACTTACCTACATAAGCCCCCAGCTCCTGCAGCTTTCCTTTTATAGCACCCTAAAAAGATAATAAAACAGCATTTAAGCACGCAGTAACAAAGCACCCCTCACTGCAGAACTGTGGCAAGGGCATTTGGCAGGTTTTCTTGTTAAGGCCGTGACAGGTTTGGTTCAACAGAGCGTGTTTTTCTCCTTCACCGTTTTCAGCGATGTGCAGGCCGCCTCAGAGAGGTGCCGCCCCAGAGAGGGGCTGCGCGCCCGGCGCCCTGCAGGCCCCAGCTTCCCATCTCGGGGGGCCCCCGGGCCGCGGCGGCGCAAGGGACAAGCCGCGGTCGCTTGGCCGAGGCCTACGCGCCTGTTCGGAGGGCGCCGCCGAGGGGAGGCCGCGCCGGGGCACGGAGGGCAATTCAGGGCCACCCCGCGCGCCTCGGCCTCCAAG